CAATCAGAAAAAAAAATGTTTAAATATTTTATAATCAATCATGTAAAAATAAAAAAATTCTTTCATTTTTAAACTTATTGGAGTCGAGACTTTCTATATCTTATTCTTCATAACTTTCAAAACTCCTTGTCAAAAACTACATAAAAACTAGTACTATAATTTGTTTATTGATCGTATTTTCATAACTTCCGAAGCTTCTAAAGGAAATTTTACATAAAAATCATTATATTCTATGTACTTATAATAGTTTAACCAATATAATTCAATTTGTTGATGAAAGTCATTTGGGTTTGACTTTTTTTTCTAAGTAGACCACGTTGATCTATAGTAAACAACAATGAACACAATAGGAAATTTTGTCAAAGTTTAATACCCTAAGTGAATTTTGACATTCAATAATCTAGTAAAGGTACTAAATTTTGACCAAAAAAAATATTTTGATTACTTTAACGTGCTATCTCATGGTATAACATGTCAAAATAGTGGACATATAAATAATTGTCAAAGTTAGATAATAACTTTAATTGACGAAACTGAAATATACCGAATAAAAAAATAGCCAAATAATAATATGGGTATTATGTAGGGGTGAGCATTTGGTTCGGCGTGAAGGTTAGGACTTAGGACACAATATAAATTCCTAACTTGGCTAATCATAAGTAATTCAAATCAATTAAAAAATTCGGCAACCCCCTTCATTGATCAAGAAACTGAAGAATAAAAAACAATAGATGCTAAGTGAGTAATTGGGTTGGAGATCTCGAAGAAACTCACATAAGTTCTTGTATTCTAGATATTCTTGATTGTTAGTTATAGAACTTTGTTAATATTATATGAAATTGATATTATTAGTTGATTTGTTACAAATAAATTAGTTGTTATAAGCTTGATTGCTATGGTTAGTTGAATTTTGTTGAATCTTTTTATTTGTTTTTAAGGCAGTGAAGAAGAATTTGTTGGTCCTAAGCCTCAAGTTAACATCGATGACGATTCAAAACAAAAGATATGTCAAAGCCTACAAAACGAAGAAAAAAAATGGCAACAAAAGAGCCATTTGTTGGAAATCATTCATTAAAACCAAAGTATTGACAATGTAAGTTTTGCAAAGCTTTACTAAAAGTCGATCCAAATCAAAACAAGGCTTCTAGTTTAGCCAAACATGCCAATGGGTGCAAAAAAATCCGGCTAACGATGAAGATAAAAGTCAAACCAAGTTGAATTTTAATGACACAAACTGGGAGGCTAATGTAACAACATGGAAACACGACGAGTCTAGAATTAAAAAATAAGGCATTATTAAACCTTCTCGTCGAAGGTGAACTGTCATTTAAGTTCATTGAAAACAAGGTCTTTATCGAATACACCAACGCATTTAATGGTAGGCTTGTCTTGTCATCTAGACATAAGATTTCTTATGGTGTAGTCAAGTTTTACATAGAAAAGAGAACAAAATGGTTTTATTTGAGTAACCCAAAAACCACAATACATTTGACAACGGACACTTGGACTTCCTATTATCAAATGGTAACTTACATAGTGGTCACGACACACCTTATAGCTGAACATTGCGTGATGCACAAGAGAACAATAAATTTCAAGGAGATAGCCAAAAGGAGAGAAAATTGGTTGATAATTACTCGATTGCATTCTGTATGAGGAATAAAAAATATCATGTTTATGACCATGGAGTTAGTAGATTGTATTCACTTCTAACGACAAGACAACTTATTTTTGGGTTAAATAGTTGTCTAATCTTTATGACGGTGGAAATCATTTTCACATAAAGTATGCATGACCCACATATAAAACCATATTGTGAGGGATGGGCTAAAATTTCAAAATCACCATGTTGAATGTGTCCAAAAATTTTGAAAAGTATATTAGACAATTGACACAAGGGATAATGAAAGTTCAAAAAGGCTATGAAAGATTGTGGGTTAGAAATGAAAAAGTTTCCATGTGCTAACACCCCTACCCAATGAGACTCGACTATTGAGTTTTGCATAAGAGGAATTTTTTTTAATTGTGTTGAATTTGTCATATTTTTTAAATTAACATAACTCTTTTCTTTGAATTCATAATGGCATAATGTTTTCCCAACATGTAGTTAGTTATTTGTCCATGAGTTTAGACAACAATTTTAAACATGTAGTTAATTGTGTATCAAAACTAAATTGTTTTTGTTTTAACATTATATACGATCTGTTTATTTTTAAACTATCTGTTTATTTTTAAACTGTCATAACTCCTTCATTTAAAGTAAAAATGACTTGATTTTTTCGACTTGATTTTTTCCAACATGTATCTTATTGTTTGTACCTTATTTTAAACCACAATTTCACCCTATTTGGTTGCTTATTGATTAAGTAACAGACCCTAGAAAAAGCTCGTATGCGTTCTTTAGTAACTTGAAAGTTGATTTACATCGAGTATGGGTGTCACCACATAGAAACATCTTCGTTTTTAACTTACAATCTTTCATATCTTTTTTGAACTGACTTATCTTTTGTGTCAATTATGTAATATGCAGGTCATACATCTTATATTGAAATGTTTTCCATCATCGTAAAGATTTGACAACTTTTTAACAAAAAAAAAAAAAAAAACTGTCTTGTCCTTCGAAGTGGTGTTATCCACGGTCATAGAAATGACATTTTTTATACTTCATCCGTGAATGCAATGCAATGTAGTAATATTCGGCTAAGTTCGTCTTCTTTATGACTATCTGTCTCTCTAAGTTTATTATTCTATTGTATGTCACCCAATTTTCATCTATAAAGTGGGTTGGACCATTTGACAAGAAACGATCAAGTAACCATTGTCAAATGTATTGTGGTCTTTAGGTTATTTAAATATAAAAAAAACATTTATCTTCTCTCTTGCATGTAAATTTTGTCCACATTGTGGAAAAATTTATGTTTAGATAGCAAAACAACTTTACCATTAAATGCATTGGTGTATTCAATTAAAACCTCTTCAACGAACTTAAATGTTAATTCGCCTAAAACAAAAAGGTTTGATAATGTTTTGTTTATCCTAAACCAGAGGTCTTACATTTTGCATACTTTTTTTTTCACACAATCATTCTCTACTATCTAAGGGTGCGTTTAGTTGTGGAAAAATGAGCCGTTTTTCGGAAAAATTTTCCAAGAAAAATGAGAATTTTGAAAACGCGTTTAGTTCGTCTATTTTTCTAAATTTTTCACGGAAAATGAAAATTTTCCGTTTTCTAAAATTACAAAGAAGTTGGAAAATTTTGGAAAACTGATAATCATTGTTTTCCATATTTTTCTAATTCCAAAATTTTTCTATAAACACACACCCACCCACACACACACATACATACCCATCCACACACACACCCGCACACACACACACACACACCAACCCACAAACACACACACATACATACCCACTCACACACACACCCCAACCCCCACACACACATACATACCCACACACACCCACACACACACACACCCACAAACACACACACTTACACATACATACCCACACACACACCCACCCGCACACACACATACACACACCAACCCACACACACACATACATATCCATCCACACACACACACACATACATACCCACCCACTCACACACACCCACCAACATACACACGCACACACCAACCCACACACACACACCCATAAACACACACACTTATACATACATACCCACACAACCACCCACAAACACACACACACACACATACCCACCCACACACACACAACCACCCACAAACACACACACACCCACCCACCCATAAACACACACACACCCACCCACCCATAAACACACACACTTACACATACATACCCATACACCCACCCACAAACACACACACACACATACACATACATACCCACCCACACACACAACCACCCACAAACAGACACACATACACACCCACCCACAAACACACTTACATACACATACATACCCACTCACCCACACACCCACCCACAAACATACACACCCACCCACACACACACACCCACAAACAAACACACACACCCACCCACACACCAACCCACAAACACACACACATACATACCCACCCATACACACACCCGCACACACACACACACCAACCCACACACACGCACATCTACCCCACCCACCCCACCCTCACAGACACACATACCCACACACACACAAACCTACACCTACCCCCACAAACACACACTCGCACCCCCACCCACCCAACACCACCACAACAATCACCAACCTACCATCACAACCACCACCACTAACCCGTCACTAGCACCACCACCATCACCACCACTGACAAAATTGACGCCGCCACCAACATCGCCTGTCATCACCACCACCGTCGTCGACCCGCTACCGTCACCGCCCCCACCCACACCCTACAACCACTACCGTTTTTTAAAAATGAAAACCGATAGAAAAATAGACATCTAAACACGTTTTCTAATTTTCTAAAACTGAAAATGAAAAATGAATAAGTTTAACTAAACGCGTTCTCTAAATTTTTCAACGAAAAATGAAAACGGAAAATGAAAATTGAAAAGGGAAAACAAAAAACGGAAAATGAAAATTGTTTTTCCGTAACTAAACGCAACCTAAGATTTCCAACCAAACTCTAGTTTTGCCATCTAACCAATTTCTCTCATTCTGTGCCCACTTATTTTTCACAATATCCTTAAGAAATTTCTATCTCTTGCTTTTTACAGCTACTCATAACAAGTTAAAAAAAATTAAAATATTAGAGATCTTGATTTAAGTATATAACAAAAAGTTCTTTCATCTCGGAATATAAATAATACTAATATCCATTGTTTTTCATTTTTCATTTAACAAAAGGAAATACGTGCATAGGAAAAAAAAATCTTTTTAATTTATTCTAATTTCGACCAATATTTTGACATTATTTTTGCTAGAATCAATACCTAACCACAAAATCACAAATAAACAAGGAGGGACTAGATTCATAGGTTTAAAGACTTGTAATAGAGCATATGTGTGAGAAATATTATTATAGTGAAGGAATTAGATGGTTTCATTAAGAATATTAACATTCACCAAAAAGCTGAAACTTGTTACTATTCACCAAAAAGAGTAAAATTTGGTTGCCAACCCTATTATGGCCCACCAAAAAGAGTTCACTTAGTTTAGTTTAGAAGTATGTTGCTATTCTCATCCTTCTCAGTAAATCTAATTGTGTTGCAAAGGAGGCTTACTTTTGTCTAATATTAAGCTAGTGACTGTATCTGTGTTTGGTGTCTTTCTCTCATTGAATTGGTCTCTGAGGAATTCAACAGCCATGAATGTAAGAGCAGAAGCTGGAACATACCATATCACCCGTGGAATGCTTCCTCTAAAAAACCCCTTTGCACCTTCAATCAACCATATTCTATGAAATGCATCCATCCAACCATTATACCTGTCACACATTTTATATATAAAACATTAATTCTCACATAAATTTCTAAATAAAAAAATAAATACAACATTCTTGCATAACTACCATTTCTACCTTACGATTGTGCCTTGTACTTGTAGTCTTGTTTTGATTACATCTAAAGGCGTTGTAAGATATGCACTAACACCTGTGCATGTTTTACATTTATCATGTTAAAAAATCCTTCAACACCATATAACAATAATAATAATAAAAAGAATAATAATAATAATAATAATAATAATAATAATAATACCCCCAGCTATTCCTCCCAATACAAGCCCCTCAAAAGAAGTATTGACATGGAATCTTGAATTAGGGAACCACTTTTGCCTCCCGTATTCTGTTACTTCTTTTAACGCCTCATAACACGTAACCTGCATATGTAAATAAATATAATAACTCTCTTGTAGATTGATTATTGTAGATTTTATCGACTACTATTACTAATTAAATAGACTACAATCGGATGATGAATAAAGAGAATAAGAGGTGGAAAATGGAATGACAAAACTACCATTAAACCAGCAAATGGGACATCCCTTGCAAGTGTAGACCAATACCTGCCAATAAAACAAGAAAATAGTAACAAAAAAAACAGGTCGTTTCACATGGAAAA